CCGTAATACAGCCGCGAGGGAATGTTTTAGCTCCTGTCCAACTGATCCCACCAAAGGTCACAAAAATAGGGAAAGGGAGTGCATTTCACGTTTGTGTGTGGCTAAATGGTGTAGGTGCCAACAAAGGTCCGTATAGTTAAAGCTATGGTTTTCCCAGTAGTGATGTATGGAAGTGAGAGCTGGACCATCAAGAAGGCTGATCGCCGAAGAATTGATGCTTTTGAATTATGGTGCTGGAGGAGACTCTTGAGAGTCCCATGGACTGCAAGAAAAACAAACCTATCCATTCTGAAGGAAATCAGCCCTGAGTGCTCACTGGAAGGACAGATCGTGAAGCTGAGGCTCCAATACTTTGGCCACCTCATGAGAAGAGAAGACTCCCTGGAAAAGACCCTGATGTTGGGAAAGACTGAGGGCCCAAGGAGAAGGGGACGACAGAGGAGGAGATGGTTGGACAGTGTTCTTGAAGCTACCAGCATGAGTTTGACCAAACTGCGGGAGGCAGTGGAAGACAGAAGTGCTTGGCGTGCTCTGGTCCATGGGGTCACGAAGAGTCGGACACGACTAAACGACTAAACAACAACAACAAATGGTGTAGGGAACAATCCAAACTGGACCCCACCCAACCACCCACCAGCGCTTTACAGAATGGTAGGACCACCATTCTTCCATCCACAGCCCAGCTATGCGCAGCAACCTGGGTCCAAGGTAATGGGACCACCTTGAACGTGATGCCATCGTGTGATCCTCCCCATTCCCAGAGGGCCACAAAGGCTGACAGGACCAGCAAAGAGACAGTTCCATGCAGTTCTCAGCATCGCCATAAGCAAAGGGAGCCGGAATTGCTCTGCCGATTGAAAGCACCCTCCAATTCAGCTGATCCCCGAAATTTCACCGAAAAGGGAAAAAAGTAAAGCATAGTTTTACTCTCCAGCTATACAATCCTCTGTATGGTGGGGGGGGGGAGAGAGATTGCTCAGTTTTCAGATGCCTCTTTGATTTTGAAGAGCAAGATTTTCAAAACAATAAATAAAGATGGAACATCCTGACCAGCTCATATATATGCATTGTATCTAAAAAGAGATTGTAGTTATTGAATTGTATCTCTGAATATTTATTTTTTCCACATGTACTGTATTGCCTTAGCTTGTTAGAAAGCTTTTGGTTTATTTCTCAGATTTTGTTCTTTTTTTTAAAAAAAAAAATTCCTTTAATAGTTTATTAACTATTAAACTATTAACTGAAATGGCATAAAGATGGCATTTATATGCCATTTCAAAAATCTCTAAGTAGTGTTAGAGAATAAATATTACCCATGCACGGGGAGAATACATCGTCGTGTAGTCCATGGTTTGGGGTGAAGGCAAGTTAACAATTTTTCAAAAGTAAAAGCTGCAGCTTGATTTTTGATTATGCTAATGTGCGTGTTTTAAGTAGGGATTCAAATCAGATGAATAAACTTTGTTGAACTATTTGTAAATATTATGGGCTGTATATAATGTTAGTCATACTCAGAGTAGACCCGCTGAAATGAATGAACTTGACTAACATAGGTTCATTACTTTCAATGGTCTGCCCTGAGTAGAAATCATTTGATTACAACCCCCTTTTAATCCCATCACTGACAGTGTATAATCAATTTAAAATAGAAAAAAAAATGTGAATCATTCTAAATGCTGCTGTGAGAAATGAGAGTCCTGGGTTATTTAGGAAGTGGCTTTCTGCTGCTTAATTCAGAGCATCATCCTACTCCAAAAGAGGGGTCCTATGGGGAAGAAGAAAGAGGAAAGGAATCAGATCACTTCTGCATGATTTGATTGTCCTTCCTGACTTCACTTTTCAGTTACAGAATCACTTCCCATTTGGCAGACGACCACCTTCAGCGTTGTCTGCTGACAACCAGTTTCAAAACAAGCTGATACCTTTACTCAGCCACTAACCTTCTTACAACAGGACGAAGGTATATGGAGATTCACTCTCCAGTATATCATACTCAATGGTTCTTCAGTTTCAGTTCCATTAATCAGGATTCCCAAAACTGCTCTGCCACATACAAGTTCTTAGAATGATCCTAATTTATAACTGGGATGGCCAATTAATGCATTGCCAAAAGAGAGGTCAAAAGAGCCCCCCCCCCAAAAAAACAGCGCAGGATTAAACCCTGTGGAGGCTCCTAGGCAGTCAAAATCTCAGGCGGCCCCTTGCAAATTATCTCCTATTACACTTTTGTAATTTTCTTTCAAGATCAAATCAATATTATTTTGATCCGTTGTCACTGACCCCTAACTGGGGCCCATACTTTACCTATTTGGTAATCTGGCAGTGCCACAAAAGATGGACCAATGGTCTGATTCAGTATAAGGTAGCGTCGTATATTCCTATCCTCTGTTCAACAAGAGAAGCCCGACACAAATATCAGTTTCAGACACAATCAAAGCAAAAACTGAAGCTTCTTTTGGGAGTCATGTCTCATAGGTCAAACATTCTGCAAGTAAGTCAGTATGAGACCTACAAAGAAACAGACTCCCTTTAAAACAGAGATGGAAAAATAGTGCCCACCCACCCAGATGCTGGTAGACTGCAGCTCTCACTTTCACTGACCACTGAACATGAAGATAATGAGAGTTGTAGTCCAACAACATCTGGACGGCCAAACATTCCTCATCCTTATAATTATTCAGCATGTTGGAAATGCTCAGCCTAAGGCAAGGCTGGGGAACCTGTGGCCCTCCAGATGTTGCTGGACTCCAACTCCCATCAGCCCCAGCCAATATTCCTACGGTCAGGGATGATGGGAGTTGTGGTCTAACATTTCAGGTGGGCTGTACTTTAAATAATTTGGAAGCATAAAGCTTCTGCAAGCTAAGTTACCTTGTTACGTCTGTGAATTTAATTATCTATTGCAATCTATCATAGGAAGGTGGGATATAAGCTCCAAAATCAAATACAGTGGTACCTTGGGTTACAGATGCTTCAGGTTACAGGCATTTCAGGTTACAGACTCCGCTAACCCAGAAATAGTACCACGGGTTAAGAACTTTGCTTCAGGATGAGAACAGAAATCGCGCGGTGGCAGCAGGAGGCCTCATTAGCTAAAGTGGTACCTCAGGTTAAGAACAGTTTCAGGTTAAGAACGGACCTCCAGAACGAATTAAGTTCTTAAACCGAGGTACCACTGTAAAATAAAAATAAACATCTGGAGGCCACAGGTTCCCTATCACCATTGTAAGGAGATGAGAGGTGTGGCAATTTGGGCAATAAATAAATGAAGTAAGATTAAACACTGAGCCATTAAGTGCAGCTACTGATTCTGTGTGAGCAGAAGAACTGTTGCTCATCATCTCAGAAAGACTGCAGTCCCCCATAACCCAAGTGACTTACTTTCCACTGTGCTCTAGAGAAGTGGCCTTTCTTTCCTCAGTAGGTGGCAAATGTTAAGTGTCTTGAGCAAAGGCCAACACACACACACACCACAAAAAAAACACACAGAGCCCCAGGCCTGGCAATGCCATGGTGTGTGAGGAAGAAACACGTGAAGAGGATAATGCAGAAATAATGCACGATCTGATATATTGTGCTGGAAGCAATTTTGTAGTAACCCGAAACTGACATTTAGTGGGAGATTTTTCTCTACCCAGGGCTTCATTTAATAAAATTCCTGGAAGATGCTCTCTTTAGAAACTTCAAAACATATGAAAAATGATTTGGAAGACTGGTGTGTGTTTTTTTTATTTCCTTGAGATTTCATTTCAGAAAAATACATATGTTCCATTTTATCATTTCAGCTTTAAAACAAAACAAAACAAGCAAACAGGTCTGTGGAAAAGAGAGGCAGAGGAGAAAATTTGAACTCGTGGAACTAGAACTTTAATTCAAAAGGCCTTGTTGGGAGCCCTGGGCCCTAACATATGAGACTTATTTTAGTTTTTCCAAAAGAGCTTTCCCCAACCTGGTGCCCTCTAGCTTCATTGGCAGGGGCTAATGGAAGTTATGGTGCAAAACGTATGGAGGGCACCAACTTGGGGAAGACTGGTTTTAAAATGCTGGATATCATACAATACAATTAGTGATCTTTCACTGCCTGATGGTAACTATTCATGCCCTCTTCCTCTGCCTTTGCTCTCATTGTGCTCCTTCGTTTGCCGTGCATACAGAGAGCATTTCCTTTTCCTGCAGTATCCAATACAGTGGTACCTCCGGTTGCGAACTTAATCCATTCTGGAGGTCCATAACCGGAAACCGCTCGTAACATGAGGCGCGCTTTCGCTAATGGCGCCTCCCGCTGCTGCCACACCGCCGGAGCGCAGTTTCCGCTCGCATCCCAGGGCAAAGGTCGGAACAAGGGGCATCTACTTCTGGGTTAGTGGAGCGTGTAACCCGAAGGATTCGTAAGGGAGATAGTATATAACACAAGGTACCACTGTATACAGTTGCCATTGTAACATTCAAAGGTATTTGTTTGCCTTGGGACCAGTAACAAATGTAAGACCAGGGCTTCTTTTTCAGTCAGAACTCAGTTCTGGCACCTCTCAGGTGGGTGCCGTTGCCATTATAAGAAAACAAGGGAGGGGTTCATAGTACAGTGGTACATCAGGTTAAGTACTTAATTCGTTCCGGAGTTCCGTTCTTAACCTAAACTGTTCTTAACATGAAGCACCACTTTAGCTAATGGAGCCTCCTGCTGCTGCTGTGCCGCCGGAGCACGATTTCTGTTCTCATCCTGAAGCAAAGTTCTTAACCTGAAGCACTATTTCTGGGTTAGCAGAGTCTGTAACCTGAAGCGTATATAACCTGAGATACCACTGTAATTTCCAGCACCATTTTTTCTCGAAAAATAGCACAATGTAAGACATTGATGAAGTTCCATTGCGTGGACAAGCGGAGTCCCCCGGTCCCGAGCGCCCCCCCCGTCATGTGGAATAACAACTCAAGACAACGTGCTATGGGATTAAATTGGCCACAACTTTATTAAATTTCAAATGTGGGTAGACCTTGGCTCAGGCGTTCTCCCTCCCCAGTCCCCAGCCGGGGACCTAGGGAGCATCAGGGTTATCCAGTGTTTGTGTGGGGGATGGGCCGGCTCTGGAGAACATATGTTCAAGCAGAGATAGCCGCCCCCGTTACGCCGCCGCCGCAGGGGAGAGCAATGACGACCTTTCGGCGTACGGTCAAAGCCTGCCTTCAGAAACCCCTTTAACGGGGAACCCTGGTATCGCCACTGCAAGAGGAAGATGGACAAAAGGATTCCGCCCAAGGCCTGATACCGCCACCCGAGACCGCAAAGATTGCCATCTCGCCGCCAAGACTACCTACATCTGAAAAGACCCTTCACCATCCGCCAGTCAATCAGGCCATGCCTGATGTTGCTCAGCCAATGCTCGTTTCCAAGGTCCAATAGGTGCACGCCATCGGGCCTAAATAGCTCCTTCATGTAGACTTTAATGTTGGGGTGTTTCACGACCCGACCTCCCATGCGTGTGGTTGCAGAGCGCACTGCCCTATTGATTTTTTCAATGGTGTAATTACCTCTAGTGGGTTTGCTGTTGCCACGCCAATGTAAGCGTGGCAGAAGTTCTGACCAGAAAATCGTGATATTGGGGTGAGTGGCATGTACGCTTTCCAGGTCTGCAATCGCAGTTTTGATAAGAATTATGCTTTTACGAATGACCAAGTCATTTTCGCCGAGGTGGAGCACAACCGCATTTGGCGGGTGGCGGTACGCAAGCTCGTGACGCAACCGAGGGAGCAGGGAATCCCATCGCATTCCACGTTGTCCGAACCAGGAAATGGAGACCTTTGGCTGCAGGCCCAGATGTTCTCCGAATGGACCGGTGGCGGCATGGGCGGCCGTCCAATGCACTATGCTGTGGCCGAAGATCCACACATGTTTGGGGGTCGAGCCTGAAAGAAAGGATTATATGGTATCTGTCAGTGCCTGTTGGTTGTCTCTAATGTAGCCTTTGAAGGCAGCTGAACGCCACCGCCCCATTGTTTTTATGTGTTCTGCCGGGAGGCCGCTTGCAGCTGCTGTGGTTGCTGCACCGATACAAAAGGAATGCCCAGAAAATTGTGCCGGGTTGCCTCCACAAGCATGGATGGCCTTACGCAATATTGAGACAAATTGGCAACGGGTCATGGGGCAGCCTGATGCGTGAATGAGGAGGGGGCCTGGTCCTGGAGGGTGTACCTTCAGGAATTTGCGTGTGTCCGAGACAAGGCATGGTTCAGTGTGTGGGGAGGAGGCTAGACTTAGCGTGGAACCCCTACCTAGTTGATCGGTTTTGGAGGCTCGGATTTTGACGTGTATCATGCGCCTGTCAAGGTTGATATCAGCCACAGACAAGCCCCTGCGATGAGATGACAGTGTACCCCAACGCACTCTCCAATACGGAGCGCACCAAAGAAGGCCAGGGAGAAGGCCGCCCTGAAGAGCCTAATCTCATAGTTGGACCAGCAAATACTGGGGAGCGCATCCCATATCAGCCGGAGGGTCTCAATGGTTACTGACCTCCTCTTATCTGGGGTGGGCGGGTGGGTGCAACGCCACCCTGCAATAAGCTTCCTTACGTGGAAAGTGTTGCAGGGGTCTGGGAGCCAAAAACAGTTGCTGAAGTATGAGATAGCAGCCCTGTGCAGGCTGATGGTCTTAAGGGCCATGCCCCTACGCTTTAGGTGAACCAAATATTTTAGAAAATCAGACTCCTTGGCTGCGCGTCTGCATCGTAAACCAAACTTATCTCTGAACCCCTCGAATTGGGACCATGCTCTGGTGCAGGACTGCAGTGTTGATGGTGCCAGGGCGCTCAGAACTCCTGCTGTCACTTCTCTCGTCCAAGTTCCCAGAGGTCCTCCGGAAAGGCTTCTGGGAGTTGATCGGCCTCGGGTGCTAGGTCGCGAAAACGCTCCATCTGAAAGCGAGACAGGGCATCTGCAATGTCGTTATTGAGGCCCGGGATGAACCTTGCGGAAAAGGAGATGTTACCTTTCAGACATTCCAACATGAAGAGACGGAGCACGCGAATTACCCTGTTGGAGCCAAGTGAGGATTCCCAGGTAAGATCCTCCCACTATTGTGTGGGCAGGTAATCCCTTCCCCACCTGGCCTGATCTCCTTGGCAACGCTTCCCCCAGGTGGGATTGGACAACTGACTAGGGTAAGCGGAGACCTCCAGGTATCCCACCTGAGGGAAGGCAAAGCCATGCCTATGCTGAATGGGGCTGCTCCAGATCCAGGGGCTGTGCGCGTCCACGCAAACATCACCCCCCGTTTTATGCGGGGAGCGGTCATTATTCTGATTTCCCAAATAAATCATTTTAGCACTTTAAAAGATGGGTAGCCAAAATGGTGCCTTCCAGACATCATTGGACTGCATCTCCCATTTTTTGTTCCCAATTATTCCTGAGTCTAACAGCACCAGGAGGGATCCACATTAGCTTACTGCTGCTCTAGGAAGTCTAAAGCATTCGTTCCATTCCCAGCTACTATTCTGCTCATATACCTCTTCTTATGCAATCTCTAATTTAACAGATGCCTTTCTTATGAAGCTAGGAATTTGCAGAAGGTTCCCATAAACACCACAATGCATTTGTATTCTTATACGCCCAGGATAGTGTATTTGCATCAGGTTTTAAATGCTGAAATGCACAAAAGCGGCATTTTTCTTTTGCTAGAAAGCAGCATTTTCTATGTCTGGTTTTTACAAAATCAATCCCAAGACAGGATGCTGAAGCTTTGACATCCTTTTGCAAAAAGACTCATTCCGCCCACATATCTAGCAGTCTTCATCACACCCACACATCTGTGTGACATGCAGCAACACTGACACATTATCATCTGTGCCGCCGCCCACCTCATTACCTTTGCTAAAATTCTGCAGCTTTTAAAAACATCCTTCACACCTTCCTGCAAGCGGGCTGATTTCTCAGCACTCCTCAAAGATGTGGGATTTGACATGGCCTTTCCACACACAACTATGTTGTGACGCAAATGCATGGCATGCAACAACGTCAATCACACTTAAAATCCATAATCAAATGCAACAGGCTGTGTTTATGGGCCTCAATTATAGACACTTGAAAGATCTTTCATTGGGAGAAAATCCATTACGTTTGTCTTCTCTCTTTGTCTCTTGTTTTGTGATGTTAGCAGCTGGTTCCTAAGGAAGAATGGCTGTCTGTCTTCAGAACTGCTTTGGGGATTTTTATTTTTTTAAAAGGTTTTCGCAGTATGTGAATTTGAAAAGCACAGTTACTCCAGTTTCAAGTAGAGCAACTCACTCACTCTCTCTCTGTTCACACATCACCACAATGGCACAAGAGAGGGCCGTGAGACCTTGAAATAATAATAATAATAATAATAATAATAATAATAATAATAATAATAGCTGAAAGGGAACCTGGGGTGGAATGAGCTCTTTGGGCCAGGAGGAAGAGATCAGCGGAGGTGTGGTGGCAAAGGAAGAAAAGAGAGTCCAGTTACTTCTGGACAGGGCCAGCCCAAGACTTTTTGGCTCCTGAGGTGAAACACAAAATCCACCCCCCTGGCAGGGAATAAGGGATGAGTAAAGATATGCATTGTGGGCAAGCTGGGGAAATAGATCTACACTGGGAACCAAATGGCCACTGTAGAAGTGGCATGGGATGGGGATTGCCACGAGATCCTGCCTCCATGGAGCATGCTGCAGCCCATGATGCATTCTTTGGAGACCTTATCTCCTGCCCCTGCTGATCCTGCCACCCGAAGTGGTCACCTCACTTTGCCTCATGGGTGAACTGGCCCTGCTTCTGGAGACACCAGGAACAAATTGATATACAGAAGCACAGATCAATAAGACTGGGTTACTTCTCTAAGACCTTGCCCAAGGCCTATTGAAAACTAACGTGCAGTGGCTTAATTTTACATCTATAGTGTTCCTCTGGAAGCAACACACAATACTTTTCTTAGACAATATATATCTAGGTTACAATCATTTTAGACAACCAGTTCCTATGCTTTGAGGAAATGTGCAATCTAACAATCAATGGGACTGAGAAGTTGCAAAATCATTACCATTAAGTCCATCAACATATCACCTTTCAGGGCACATATCAGTTCCAAGAGATAGCCAACCCAATCATTGGACTTTAGACTTCAGCAAATGTAGAACTTTGCTTATTCTCATTGCTGTGACTACGCATGCTACTGTGATTTTGGCTAACTCATTTGACAATAGCAACATTTTTGCCTAGTCAATAAATGATTACTATGTCTTAAGACATGGATATTTTTGTTTTATTTTGCACTTGTTGGCAAGTATATTATAGCATTGTATGTGCTATCAGAGCAAGCATCTTGATGACATCCTGTTCAGGAAATATGTAAATATAGCAGGGGATGTGTTGAATATAACAATGTTTTACTTGGCTTTAATGAGCTTCTGTTGGACTTTTGTAAAGTTTATTGTTCAAGTACAGTTCAGGGGTTATCTTCTAGCACTTAAGGCAAGACAGAAATAGATTTGAAGAAAACCATTCTTGGTGTGGATTTGTGGGGTTGTTATTTTTTTTTAAGGTGTAGAGTTTAATGTCACAGAGATGTTTTTAAAAGTGAAAAGTAACTCTAAAATGTTAGGAAATCAACATTCTCATGGTTTAGACATGAACAAGGGAAACAGCATCTCTTTCCTTAGGAAGAAAAAGAAAAAAACTTTGTGTTAAATGCAGACAATTAGACAGCGTTGGACAGAACCACTGCTCATCCTCCTATTGGTGGAAAGTGGCTAGGCAGAGAAAGGTTTTTCTTCAGATTCTCTTGCATGCCAAATAGAAAAGTTTAGCCACCACAAAAGGGGAAGTCAGTTGGAGCAGAGAAGTGATAATAAAATTCACCTTATTCACTCTGTTCATAGTGGTGGTGAGGAGTATTTAAACCTCTTGTTCTGCTTTTGAAAGATATAGGTTTAATTCCGAGAACTCCCCGCCTATAAAGGATATGAAATTTTAGAATTCTGGGTTTGTTTGTTTGTTTACTCATGCAACATATCACTATTTTATATTGTTCCCTTATTGCTTCTTTTTAACCAAGCCTGTCCTGTGTTAATATGTGGTTCAATTAATATGTGGTCCTAGCAAGAATGCCACATAAAATATCTGGTTTAAATATTTGGTTTGAATATTGCAGTTTTAGCAAATCCGAATCCTGCTCCTATGGACAACCGAAACATCTATTTTGTTTGTTTGTTATGCTTACATATTATGCATTGTCATGATAGCAAACCATTTTGTGCCATGCCATTCCTAGTATCAAGAGTATCAAGAGTATCATTTTTAAGAGTACTTGGGTCCAACAGACCCTTTGATATCCTAGCTTGAATTTAATATTCTAATTGCTTTCAAAGTTATTCCAGTTTAACAACAGCAAGGAGCAAAAGATGTTATATGCACCACATTCAATGAGCAAAGACTAACCGCTGTTTTAAACTAACATAATGTAACACTGTGGCCTTCAAGATGTTGCCGGAGAATGACATCCAGCATCCCTGACCATTGCCCATGCTAGCTGGGGCTGATAGAACTCTACATCTGGAGGACCAACGCTTCCCCATCTAGTCTAATGCAAAACCTACTGGTGTGCATTGGATACAACAGGGTTGGCCTCAGTTCCTCACTTGACTTTCAGGAAGCCCTGGAGGAGAAAATTAAAGAGAAGCATATTTGAAATACTGGGCTCATTACAGAAGAGAGAACAAAACCAAGAATGCCTAGAATATTGGCCTTAAAAAAATAGATAAAACTCACTAACCAACTACCAGTAATTTAACCTATTGAAATGAATAGAACATGAATCTGTGAAATAGCTAAGCTAGCTAGGATCCATTCTGCTGCAATAATTTCGCAAAATAGGGTAGGGAAAACCCTGTACCACAAATTCCATTTTTATGTGATCAGATCACTTTCAGAGCAGTGAATTATATCCCCTCCCCACTAGTCTATACATTCTTGTGATTACAAAAAACAAAGCCGCTACTATACGTTACAGAGGTCCATTGGACCCCAAGAGTAACTTTCACCCTAAGAGATGAACTCTGCTCCAAGTTCAGTTTATATTGACAGGGGAACTCGAGTTCAAGACACATGCATAACAATGATGAAGTTGTGTTTATATAGGTTTAAGAGTTCAAAAACAAGGATGAAGTTCATCTGTAAGTGAGAGCAAAGCCAGCCCTACCATTAGACAGATTGAGGCAGACACCTTAGGCAGCTGATTTTCGGTGTCATGAATGGGCAGTGAATGGATAGTTATTTAATTTATTATCGTTTCAGTTTTACTCCCAGAAGCTCTTCTGGGATTTTCTGCCTCAGGTGCCAGAATAACTTGGCCAGCCTTCAGCAGTATGCACATTGACTTGCGGTTGGAGAGACCATTTGCTATTCTACTTTGGGCTGTCCCTGAATGAAAGCATTGCTCAGGGCCTGGTTTAGATAGAAAAACTGAGGTACTAATGAACTCTGGAATCACACAGGGAACTGGTTGGATTTTGACAGAGATGCCCTCCCTGGAAATATTTCAGTTGAGGCCAAGAAAGAGGAATTGACCACATAATTCCTCTTGCAGTATTTACCTGAGAGTAATCCAGGCATAGAATCTACCCTCCTGTTGTGTCGTAGCCTTCCTATAGTGCTGTCAGTGAAGTCCAATTTCTGTCAGCCATAATATCTAAAACAATGAAATATTT